CAAGGGAGCCCACTTAATCTCTTTTCATGAATATATTTTAAATGTATTTTTAAATTTAACTTTTTTCGCGATCGGTAAAAAAAAGACGGATGATATCCATAACTGTACGCGTGTAAAACGAGAAGTGCAAATGTATTTTGGAAAAATTTGGCCAATAGTAAAAACCAGATCACATAAGAAGTTGTTGAGTGAGAATAGCATAATCTGTCGACTATCAGTTGGATAAATTATTTATTGAATATTACCAGATCCTTGTAAACACGTTTTAACTCCTATCGTTACACCGTATAATTAAATTATAAGCTGAAGAGGCCCACAGTCAGCATACTTCTTAGAAAATCAATAAACAGGTTTACTACCTTTGTATAACAACATGTGATTTAAATATAGGTTCGACGTTTTAATGTTCTGTTTTAATGGTGATTTTTTAAGATTTTCGAACACAATAAAAACAAAGATAAAAGTAATTAATAATGTGTGGTGTTTAGTGACCGTTAGTTAATGATTATTTGAAGATCGTGAGATGCGGGATGGTGTGACGTAGGTTTTACAAAAACATTTTCTTTATCGTGCCAACGTTTCGATCTTTATTGAGATCATCTTCAAGGCTCAGGGGTAATTACCGTCAAACAGACCAAATGAAAGAAGAGGAACTTAACTTTTTAACGACGTACGTACCATAAAAATATATAAAGGATTTCTATAAGAAAATTCTCAAAATAGGAAAATAATTTATTAAAAATTAACCTCGTTTTTTTTTTTAACGGAAATAATCGTCCAATGTTAATGTTTGATACAGTTGTAAAACCCACGTGAAAATTCTTTTAAAAAGAATTATCAACCATGAAAATCGGTCTCCTACGTTTTGACAAAAACGATGTTAGTGCTTGCACTAGGAATGTCAGTCAGGCAGAAAAGGTCGTAGAAATTATCAGTCCAAAAATTAATTTACACCGACTTCCGCGAAAGTCGGTATCTAATAATTTTATAACGATAGAATCACGACAATGGGTCAAATCCAAATTTTGACCATTTGCTGATCTACTTTGCTTACAAGTACAGAATGATTGTTAAAATAGGTAAAAAGTATTTTGTTGATTTATCTTTTTAAATCATACCAAATTACAATATTCTTCGTAATAGAATATTTTTGCTTTTATGTTAACCAACAATTAAATTATTACACCAAAAATATTTTTTTAATCTATAAATAACGATTTATCCTTATCTTTTTAAAAAGGATTGAACACCGCACTCACTTCATCATTCATCATTTCTATTATCTTATTTATACTTATCCTTTAATTAAATTTAATTCAAACTTATAATTTTTATTACCATTTTAATTTGAACAATATAAATAAATTCATTCAATCACAATTATATTTGGTCCCTCGTGTTACAAAATTAATGAATTTGAATTTTGTTGAGAATGTGCTGGAGAGTTTTACTGAAGGTAAATAATATTCCTATTTTGAGTATTTTCTCAGAAATCTTTTATATATTTTTATGGTACATGCGTGGTTAAAAAGCTACGTTCCTCTTCTTTCAAATGGTATGTTTGACGTTAAAATACTTTTAGCCGTTTTTTTTTCATTACAGCCGTTTCAATTCGATAACGACTTCTTAAAAATCGGAAAATTATCGTAGGTAAAAAAATTAATAAATTTAAATTCAAACAAAAATTTATATTTAGGGGTCTCTAGGGGTGCAAAAACGAAATTTTATATTAGTTTTAAGAGAAAAAAAATTATGACCTAGTTTACTTGAATAAAATTTGGTGTTTTGAATTTTTCTGGTCATTGATAAACTTTGACAGATTTTAGTATATTTTATTGCAATCTACATAAAAAATTATGTAAGATGATACATTTACCTAGTTGATTTCAGCAACCAAGAGCGGCGAAATAAAAATATTAAAAAACGGTAAATTTCAACTTTAATTTTTTGGCGGAACCAGGTCCTTTTCACATTAAGTGGCGGATACGTGTCCGATATTTGAAGTGTAAAATCACAAAAAAAGTTTCTCAAATCCGTGACACACAAACCTGGTCGTCCAGTTTTGGTTAGCGTTTTAATTTGTCAGTCCTTATTTCATGATCACGTTAGGTTATTACAATTCTAAATTTATATAGCCATTTCATTAAATCATGATCAATTACAATTGCAGTTGTTTTTAAACCGTTCAAATCTCACAAAAATATTTACTGCTAAGAAAGTTTTAAACTGGAACCCGATAATCGTTTAATCTAGGGATTAACAGTACGTGTTTGAAAAGATAACGTAATATGGAAAAAATGTCAATGAAAGCCAATAAAGCACACGTTGTCAGGATTAGGTAGAAAAAAAATACTGGGCACATCACAAGTAACACATGTTATTGCAAATAATCAAAATTTTCCTATTAAACATGAAATGTCCTATATTTAAATATGTTTATGATAATAAACCAAATTGACTGTATTATCTAACTAGTCAGACCTCTTCTTTATATCGAAGAAAATATCAAATGTCCAAAGAAGTGATTAACTTTATGAATAACCTATACAGTTTTTAAGGGTTTTTTTATACAAAATAAATATAAAATTTAAATGTGTGGTGATTAGAGACCGTTTGTCGGTGATTATTCAGAAATCGTGAGATGCGGTCTGGTGTGATGTACGTTTCAGAAAAACATTTTCTTTATCGTGCCAACGTTTCGATCTTTATTGAGATCATCTTCTGTAGAGACACGACACGCAAGAATGGCACAATTACACAGAAGACAAACTCTTTGAGCCCTGAAGATGATCTCAATAAAGATCGAAACGTTGGCACGATAAAGAAAAGGTTTTTCTGAAACCTACATCACACCAGACCGCATCTCACGATTTCTGAATAAATAAAATTTAGATATATGAAATGAATGCTTAACTAAGTCAAGGGGCATCCTAATCTTTGAGATAGGCGTTGAAACTTTTCCCTGATCATTACTTAACAGCAGTTGTGAATCGAACAACCGTAATTTACAAATAATGGCAAATTTCTCTTATCCACGGTCTGCACGGTTCACTGCCTTGTTTTGACAAAAGTACATATATTTCTGATTTAAAAAAACTATTATTCCTGTTATATTCATGATAAAACAGTGACCTTCTGCCTGTTTACCGGCTAGATTTTTCTCTTCTTTTTTCCTGTTCATTTTATAATCTTGATACACGTATTTGTCGACTCCTGGATCTCCCTACGCCCAGAAAGATCGCTATTAAATACTCCCCTCCTCACCGAAAAAAAAGAAACCAGGTGTGGTAAATCTGGCGAACGGGAAGGTCATTCTATTTCTCCCCTTCTTCCATTGAGATAATCCTGAATGGGATAAAATTCTGCCATTCTCTTCACCCTCCCTGGTTTGGAAGACATCGGGGGCAAAACTTATTGCTGTTACTTTCAACTATAAGAATATTTCCATATTTTGCGAATTTTTAATGGAAATCTGGTAGAAAAATTTCGGCTATTCGCCGCCTATCTAATCTTTCGAAGTGAGCCGATGTGCAATAAAACCTTAATCAATGTTCAGTTGGTATTTTTACAGCCGATGGTTCCTTTTTGTCTTTCATGTTGGAGGAAATCGCTGATAAAAGAGATAACAATGATTACGAATGTTTTTGACAGTATTATCCAGTTTTTTTTAAATATATATTTACTTATCAAAATTAAAAGTTCATTCCGTCATTCGCTCATTTTACCCTTTCAATAGAATATTCCCTTTAAATTCGACCCAATTCTAAACGGGTTTCCTGGAGCCTATTCTTAAAATATTCACGAGTCTGCCTAAACGTCGAAGGAGCTGCTAAGTGCATATGTTCAATGTTGAATGTAGATCAACCAACTCTCGTATCGATCTCACACCGAGACACTGTGTACAGACTGTAATAACCGGAAAACTCGCGGATAAAATATGAACGCCGTGAAACAAAAGCCGAATGGCCCCCGTTGCATTATGATGCCGATGGGGGAAAAATATCTCTCAAAATATCTATTTTACAACGGATAACATTTCAGATCGTATTTGTTATACTAATAAACTCTTCGGTTGTAATTATTAATGCGTGTAAGGTCTTGATAAAAAAGCTAATTGTTACTACCAGGCTTTCGACCTATTTTAAGGTCATCGTCAAGGCAAAACAATCTTAAATATGTCTACAACTTGACATAATTAAGTTCTTCAAAGTCGATTTCAAATTTCTTGGAAGATCGACTCAATTCCAATATTGTCAAGGAGTGTTGATATGTCACAGACCTTGGCAATGTCGTGACTGAGTCGATCTTGCAAAAAATTTGAAATCGTCTGTGAAAAACTTATGTCAATCTGTAGACATATTTATAATTGTTTTGCCCTGATGATGGCCTTAAAATAGGTCGAAAGCTTGGCAGTGACTAATGAATTTGCTTTTTCATCAAGACCATAACGTTACCCAGAGTATTCGTGTGTTGTGGCGTTTGTTAGATAGAAAGGTTTGCATTTATTATAGTTTTATTAGGGGTTTTCTGGTTTTTAATTTGAAGAAGCTTATCGTCTGTAAAAACTGACTTACGTTAAAAATGTTAACTTTTTTATTATTTTTCAGTTGTTTACTGCACTCAAGACAGAACACTTATTAAAGAAAGCGCTTCAAGCTCTGGCCGGACCTTTGGATTTTATTTCCCAATGAGTTTCAGCGTCTTTCATGGCTTGGGAATTGGAGAAAGGGAGATTTTTCGGGGTTAACGCCATTTATATACGACACGTTCAAGTATAAAGACTGAAAATTTAAGCCCTATTTTGAAGTTTTATGATTACGTTAATGTTACATAATCAAATGGCAATTATTGTTTATAGTATTACACAAGTTTCGAGGAAGTCGGACTATTTCGAGGAAAACAGAAGGCCAGGTGTGAATTTTAACTGTGTGAAAGTGCGTGTCGTAGGGGGGAAAAAGCGAGTTGCCGAAGGAGGAAGAGTCCAAAGTAGAGAATCGTACCTTTCTCGTACGTGTTAATCCCGGATCGATAAAAAGAAATCCTCGATGGGCCACGGGACACTTTCACATCACATTTTCATCACTAGAGACGCACTCCGAAACGCGGTTGTCAATGCTGACGCGGTCGGTCACTGAACGGGGTCGAGAAGAGGTGACGGGCCGAGCGATGGCGCGGTACTGGTGGCAGCGGGCAGAGAGGGTCGGCTCGTTCGGTGGAAGGGGCGATGATTCGCCGTTCTCACAAGCTGGCTGGGAAGGAAGGTGCAGGCGTTCGCCGGTTAAGGACGGTCGATTAAATTATAGCCAGGTCGGCCGACGGAAGCCGAATCGTTGCAGGAGCGGGGACAACGGCCGAGGAAATAGGCCCAAACAAACGCGCTTTCCCTTACCATATTCCATTTTAACATTCGGATACTAATCCGACACTAAAACGACAAGATTCGCTCAATAACACACTCATATCGACAAGTATATAACTCGAAGATGACCTAAATAGATCATACTACTCCATACTTTCAAACATCCTCAAATACCCTCATTATCAAAACAAAGAATTATTGCTGAGTAATCAAATAAGAAATAAGAATAGAACCCTTTCCCTTACCACATCCCATTTTAACATTCTGACACTATTTCGACAAAATTCGCTCAATAACATACTCATATCGACAAGTATATATGTAACTGGAAGATGACCTAAATATATCGTACTACTACATACTTTCAAACATCCTCAAATACCCTCATTAACAAAAGAAAGAATTATTGCTGAGTAATCAAATAAAAAATAAGAATAGAATATTCCATACCGAGTATATTAAATCTACAGAGGATTCTATATCTAGGAGACTTTGCTCCTTTACAAAAAGTCTGAAATCTTCTACTTCCAAATAACAATAACTACTTAAATAAAACAAATGTTTTCGGCCTTTACAAGACCATCTTCAAAGCAGTATTGATTCGCTTTGACTAAGTACGGTTGTCAGCAGGTTTTGAAAACTGTTCCAACACATGGGTTTTGCGTTAAAGGTACTGGTTCTAAATCTTGCACAAAAATATAAGAACGATAATGCTTCACCTTTCTTTTCAGTAAGACTCAACAGTTAATAGAAAACTGTTGCAACTCATGGATACCTTAAAAGTACTAGTTTTAAATTTGGAAAAAAATATAAAAATAATAAAGTTACACCGTAACTTTTTGGTAGGACACGAAATTCGAATGAAAACTGTTCGAACTCATGGATTTTGCGTTAAAGGTACTGGTTCTAAATCTTGCACAAAAATATAAGAACGATAATGCTTCAACTTGCTTTTCAGTAAGACTCAAAATTTAATTGAAAACTGTTGCAACTCATGGGTACCTTAAAAGTACTAGTTTTAAATCTTGGATAAAAATATAAAAATAATAAAGTTACACCGTATCTTTTCGTAGGGCGCAAACTTCAACTGAAAACTGTTCCAACATACGGGTTTTACGTTGTTATAAAATAAACGTACAAGTTAGATAAAAATAGTTCTAAATATTGGATAAAAATATAAAAATAATAAAACTACACCATGTCTTTGTGTCTTTGGTAGGACGCAAAATCTGTATTATGGAATAGTTTTCTATTCCGAAAACCTGCTGACAAACACACTAACTCACCTAATGTAACTCTTTCTAATACTACCCTGAGGATGGCGTTAATAAAAGCCGGAAGCTTGTAAAGTGATTGCAGTTTCTTCTTTTTAATCCTGACTATAAACCAGATCCACATCTTACACTGGTCGATAATCAACATAATCATCATAAAACAAGTATACAATTCTGAATGTGCTGCTGTAAATCTATTAGCTCACATTTTTTCCAGTGTGTTTATTCTTTTAATCTACTGTAACTGAAGTAGATTATATATTATAGATTATATTATAGTCCATTACCTAATATTGTTTATAAAGTAAAATCATTGAAATCAACGAGTTGTTTTGGTCCAGAAAAATTTCTGCTGTTCTTCTTAAAAAGATGGAAGCATTAGCTACCGCCCTTAAACATTATTTTAAACAAATCCTTGATTACCGGCGGTTTGCCAGGTGTCCCTTTTTTCGATCAGACAAAGCGAGATATCAGAAAAAAGTTAAATTGTAACTTTTATTGTTTTAAAGTTATACAGTTTTATGTCAAAAAACTTGTTTTCTCCCTCAGATGTACGAGAGGTATCAGAATTAAGTGTCCCCCCCCCCGAAATGCAACCCTATCTTTTTTCCCGGGTATTCTTAAATTTCGTCGTTTTTAATATAAAAAAATGAATTTTATTTCATCGAAACCAATCAAAGATTTCCCGAGACACAATTTTTTTAAAAAATAATATTACAGAAGTTCGGTCTTTGTGTTTTCACCTCCTCTTTTCTCATCCAGGCCAAAAAGGAACTAAAAAAAAGGGGAGAGAGTGGAGAGGAGAGAGGAGCGAGAGAGAGAGAAAGAGAAAGAGAGAGAGAGAGAGAGAGAGAGAGAGAAAGAGAGAGAGAGAGAGAGAGAGAGAGAAAAATGAAGGTACCAATAAAGAGTAAGTGAATGAGGAATAAAGTTAGATAAATAGGGATAGTAATAAAAATAGAGAGAGATAGAGCAAGGGAGAGGGAGGGAGTGAGATAGTGAGAGAGGAGAGAGAAGAGGAGAGAGAAAAATGAAGGTAGCAATAAAGAGTAAGTGAATGAGGATTAAAGTTACATAAATAGAGATAGTGATGAAGATAGAGAGAGAGCAACTTCTTGCAAAAAGCAAAGGAGAGGGGGAGAGAGAAAAGAAGGTAGCAATACAGATTAAGTGAATGAGGAATAAAGTTAGATAAATAGGGATAGTGATAAAGATAGAGAGAGATAGAGCAAGGGAGAGGGAGGAGGGAGAGAGTGAGAGCAAGGGAGAGGGAGGAGGGAGAGAGAGTGAGAGTGAGAGAGAGAGGAGAGAGAGAGAGAGTAGAGAGAGAGAGAGAGTAGAGAGAGAGAGAGAGAGAGCGTGAAAGAGCGAGAGAGAGTAGTAGTGAAATGGTGTTGCGGGTTGTCAGTGAATAAGGGGGGGAAAAATCCCCAAGTTCGCGGTACCAAAGAAGCCTATTAAATCTCCGTTGGACCAGCTCCAGTCGCTGGATAGGTAAGCCGAGTAATAAGACCACATGGATGAACCATCATAGTTTAGATAGTATGAAGTGTGAAACAGTCTACTGGTACTCTTATAAAAGCGCCAAGGGGCAAGAACCTTAGTAAAACGACTCTACGAGAAATTGCTAATTGGCGCGAAAGTCAAAGAAAGCGGCTACGTTCTTCATTATAAAGTCTATCATTGCACGCGACCACAGTCTTGCGGTTTAAAGGCCGGCGAAATTACGAAGCCAGACGTATTAGCAGTTTTAATTTATTTTTTTGTAAAATCATTGTCGATTATAGATAGATATGCAGATATATACAGAGAGAAGAGAGGTAGATAGAAAAAACAACTTGGGGACTACCAATGGTTAAAATATCAAATATAAACTTAAAAAAGTTAAATTGTAAAAAATTTTCGCGTGGTTTTTATCTTTATTTTATTTTTTTTAAGTGGAATAAGTCAATTCCACTTATCATCTTAAGTAATAATCATAATGAAACAACTTTCTAATCGCATTAATTATTGATAATTGCAGTTTGTGGAATGCTCTAACAAATGGCAAACATGAACGCGCCTTTGCCTCTACTTGTCAAACTTAAAAATCGTTCTGAAAACACCCACCTGAATCAACAAGTAAACAACACGTACAAGTCATATCCAATGAAGAAACTTTTCGCCAAGTTTTATCCATTAAAGACCATCAAAAATAAAGTCCCACCGAACACGCGTAACAAGTTGTGCCGAGTGATGGAACTTAAAGAAACCGTGACGATCAAAGTTTCTGACAGGCGAAAAAAAAATCGAAACCGCATAAAAATGTTATGTTGCAGCCTAAGACCTATAAGAATAAAACTTGTACAATCCGGTTTATTCATAGCAAACATGCGTACCGTACAAACTGTGTGACTGTAAAATACTCGTAATCAATAAGAAATGGAAACTTCATAGATATAAAGAAAAAGATATAAATCATTTGCTTATGCAAAAAGTGAATCAGCTAAAACTGAATTAAAAAAATAACTCGCGGCATTTTCTAAGCATTATGCACAATGAAAAGGCAAACTAACTTTATCCATTTGAGCAAGAATCACATTTGAAAGGTTACAAAATGATATGCTAGTAAGATAATAAGTTGATAATAAACAGCAAAGATTCAATCGCTCTTTTGACTGAATGATGGGTCTGACCTTCAGTTTTTGCAAATGAGGGTATATGTAAGCAGACTGCAGTTTTTCCTTACCCTACTTAAATCCCTGACAGGTCACTGATGATAGCTATTCTTCCAATTAAAAATTAGATTAGAGATATATAAAGTTTGCATTTGATGCTTAATTTTGTGCCTTGCCTTATCAGCGACCAAAACGTTAAGGATGGGCACGCCAGAACAATTGAAACGAAGCAAACTCCAAATAATACTATAATGTTATTTAAAATCGATGACAATTTTGATACATCATTTGGTGATAGATTTTGTCATTCCTATTCCTTACCACTATGACCTGGATCGTTGATCGGACCTGGGGACAATCGCGTCTTTTTAGGTGCCTTCTCTCGGCAGTAGAAGCTCAAACTGAAATGTTACAACCAGCTTTAGCAAAAAAAAAAAAAAAGAAAGAAAGCGCGTGTATGTTTGTGTGTGTGTGTATGTGTGTAATTATTGTACATTAAACCATAGCTTTATATTGCATTAATAATGTACGTTTTTTGGAAAATGTCTGCAAGTATTTGTTAACAAACAAACATCATTATCAGGTGGTTTATGTAAAAAACATTTTTTAAACGGAAATACAATTTTAATACATTCTTGTAAGATATTATTTTGCCTCCTTTAGAGTTTGGTCAGGGTTATAAGCAAGGACAGGCTAGACGAGACACCTTCTCGTAGGTGCGCGTTCTTGATTCTTCAGAGAAAATCAGAGAAAACCCATTTGTTAGAGCATTCCACATACTGCAATTATCAATAATTAATGCGATTAGAAGTTGTTTCATTATGATTATTACTTAAGATGATAAGTGGAATTCACTTAAAAAAATAAAATTAAAATAAAAAACCACGCGAAAAGGTTT